CAGACAGACAGACAGACAGACAGACAGACAGACAGACAGACAGACAGACAGACAGTCTTCTGTGCTGCTATCTGCTATATCTCACTCAGCCGGAGGTGAACCTGACGGAGTCGAAGTAACCCGCCCGCTTAAATTATCTATATTCTGTCGAAGGTGGGCATAAAACATTAGCGAGGCATTGTGGAGTAATCAGGCCCTGGTCAAAACAAGGAAATTTATGAAATCGATATTCTTACACCCATTGGGAACATTATTTATTTTAAAATATTTTTTACTCCACATTTTTACGTCTATTTAAATGCACATTTTTCTTCCTGGATTTAGCAGGAAAACGCAGACCAAAGGAACAAATATAATTGCTTTTTTCCAAGGACACTCAAACTTTTGAAGTCAGTAGACTTATAAGCGGCCGTTTTTCTCGCTAATCTGTGATACCAGGCGACCCCCGCCGCCTTCAATCGCGAATAACTCTACTTCTTTTCTAGCTAGATGAATATTTGTTTGTTTCATCCTAAGCAAGAAATATATGAACAAGCGTTAAGATGATGCAGATAACTTTGTAGGCCCTAAATTTGACAGGCGCCTGATTCCGACGCGTTGTGACACATTTTAATTTACATATTTACCGTGTATAGCTCTAATGCCTAAATGCGACAGGTGTTTCTGCTAACGTTGAAAACAAACGACCACAACATAATAATATGTGAGGCAGCGTGGTGAAATCAGGTGCTAGTCAAGATAATGAAACTCAAGAAACTGGCACTTTTTCCGTTTGTTTTTTTTAATTATTATTTTTTAGCTCAACACCCTTTTTGCCCTTTAAAGAACACATTTCTGTGTGGGTTTTACTGAAAAACGTTGATTAAAGGCATAAAATATGTAAATTTTCAGTTTCCACGGACTATCAAGCTAAGGAATTAACTCAGCTTTGGCGGCCATTTTCACAAATATCTTGAATTGGATTTCATTCTTTTTTTCATCAAAAGCAAGACAAGTGGACAGGCTTTAAGGTTATATCAATAACTCCATATGCCCGAAAAATTGACTAGCGCCTATTCCACTACGACATGACACTTATTATGGCGAGTGGCTGACGTAAGAGTGGTTAGGTGACGAAAAAGAACCGTTCTTTTTTAGATATCGTTTTGACGTTTTTGATTTAATTAAGAGCAGATTTGGATTGGTGGTTAGAGGCTGACAGTCGTAAGTCGATGTCTTTCCTTACCATGCATAGTTTCTGTCTTTCTTTCTTACCCTGTCCCTGCTGTAAGTGACTGTTGTGGGTGGTTGACGGGTGCTCTAGTGTGTTTTGCTCCTTCCTTCCTTTCAAACATCTATCGTCCTTATCTCTCCTTTTTTGTGTATGTTACTCTCTTGTAATACATCAATTCTTCAGCACTTATACATGACCTTATTGTGTTGAAAGTGCCTTAAAACACTAAATGTGTGTTTATTACTCTCTTGTAACACCTCTAATCTTTGGCACTTATATAACCTTATTGTGTTGCAAGTGCCGTAATACACTTACTAAGACTAATTGACTCAAACAAAGCAGATGTCATTGTTTCATTTCCAAATGTCTTTTCAGATTTCTGCCCCTGACAACAACCACCACTGTGTTCATCAACTGTGAAGAAGTGTGTTTGTCACCTACAACAAGCTTTCGGCGACTGGCTACCCCGAGGATTATTTCTCCGAGATTTCTTGATTTTTCTGAAGATTGTTTTGGATTTACTTCACCTGTGTGGATAACCGGATAACCGGATAACCGAAACTCGCCAGGATGGGAAAGGGAATGTCGCAGCTGTCCAAGGAGGACTTGAGGTTTCTGCAGGAGAACACCAACTTCAACAAGGACGAGATCAAACAGTGGTATAAGGGCTTTATGGTGAGTCGTCTTAGTGGTGGTGGTGGTGCAGGGGGTGGGGAGGGCAGGGGTATGGTATGGTGGTGGTTGTTGTTGATTTTGTTGTTGGTGTTGTTGATTTTGTTGTTGTTGTTGCAACGCTTGCTAAATAATGTTTTTCTTGGGGTTTTTTTTCC